GAGTCCAGGCTGCTCCAGGCCCCGGGCTCTCCTGACTGGCTGTTCTGTAGGCCTGCCAGCGGAGGGCAGCATTGACCTTAAGAAGCCAGGACAAGGCCTGTGCTGGACTCACTCTGCCCTGCCCTGCCTAAGGACCAGCAATCCAGTCTCCCCATCACCTTTGCCCTTTATAGCTGCTCCTTCCTCCTTATCTGTCCCGCGACTTCAACTCTGCTTCTTCCTGTCAGCACGCTTCTTGAATGTTGTAAAAAAAAAAGGCACACACACCTGACTACTCCTTCCCCCCAAAAGGAAGGGCCTTTTATGCCCCTCTTGGGGAAATATAAATTCCTCTCCTCTCTGAGTCATCATCTCAGATTGTTCCTTATGTGCCATGTCTTCATCATTAGGCTGGAGGTGATTTTCTCGATGTTGCTGACTGGTTCTTTTTTCCAGATCCTTCTCACTTCTGGGCCAGGCTGGGGCCATCTGGCTTGAGTGTCTCGTTTTATGCTCAGTGAGATGACTGTTGGATGCGTGTACCCTGTACCTTGACTGGGCTCTCTGACATAGACATTGCTGATGGACAGATTTGTGCTATAAATAGGTATTTAAAATGTCAAGGGGCCATAAGTACCATGAAGAGAAAATGAAACAAAATCGGGTAAGAAGATAGAAAGTAAAGGTTGGGCACAAGAGAGGTTGCAGGCTTGTATTATAAGGGACCATACTTGGAGAATCACTGACTCAGTCCAGTCATAATCCATTGTCTAGGCCAGGCCCACGGCCTCCTGAACAAAGTATAGGCTCTGTTAGCCAGGAAATGTGGATATTGGTAGAGTGTCTGCATAATAGGCATGACACTTAGCCCAGTGCCCAGCTCCTAAGTCCTCGGTAAATGGTAGTTACTATTATTATAGGTATTGTTATGATTATCATTTTAGAAGACCATAAGGTTACAGTGGGGTCTGACCATGGAGCGTTATAAATGTCAGGCAGATGAGTCCCTGGTGTACTCTCTGGGGGTAAAGAAGCATCTTGAAGCAGGAATGATCAAGCTGGCACTTCTGGAGGATAAGCTAGGCATGAAGCTGGGACCTGCTCAGGAACAGGCGGGAAGAATGGGCTGGTGAGCGACTTGAGGGAGGCTCCAAGTGGAGATGGTTCTGGGGTGCAGAGGAAGCACCTGTCCCTGGCCTTGGAGTCCAGGAGATTGTCTGTCAGCCTGCTGGGATCTCCAGGACTGATTCTCAAGGTGTACTGTCCCCTTCATCACTGGCTCCCTGGGCACTCAGGCCAGGCTGGGCTGTGAGGGTTGGAGTGGGGTCAGGAGGGCCAAGGACTTGAGCAGGTGCAGACTTCACTCTAAGACAGGCTGAGGGGCATACCTGCGTCTGTGGCAACCCTGAGAGAAGGGAGCGCGCTGTGTCTCCCTGCATGCTGGCAGTAGCATCTGGGCCTAAAGTTGGTTAGCATCCTCATCTGTAAGATGGTGGCCATCAAGCATACACATTAGGGAAAGAAGATGAGAAAACAAATGCCTCATGCAAATGAAGTCACATTGTCATCCTGCATTTACTGCTCAGAGTGTCTTTGTGTCGGTGTTACTTCAATCAGCCAGCACAGAGCTGTGGCTACTTACCCAAGTTGATATAGTTGATATATTAAGGGGGAGAGACTTGTCCCTTCCTCCCGTTTCCTCGGTCATTTTCAGTTGTGTGACTTGGGTCTGGATACATCTATTTTCTGAGGTGTTTTAGGTATAAGGTGTGAGCAGTCATTCAACCCAGAGGCTCTGTCTTGAACCTTGGAGGTCTCCTTTCCCTCTGGGCTTCTGATACTAAGCTCAGGCCTGTGGTGGTACAAGGGACGGTCAGTCACAGTTTCAACGGATCTTGTGGAAAAAAATGTCCCCATATCAGTGGGTTCCATGCTTACCTCAAATCCACAGTGGCTGTCTGTTCTGCATTTCACAACGTTCACTAAACTGAAAAACAAGCCAGCCCTTAAATAGCTCTCGTTTCAGCCGGTTTCTGTAATCCCCAAAGCTGCTGACTGCTCAGGATTCCATCAGCCTCAAATTGTGCCCAGATTTCGCTCATTGGTCCAATTATTTGACCATGGGGGAGAACAGCTCACGTGTTCCATTTGCCTTCTGCTGGTACAGAGTGATCTGTTGAGAGAAGCCCTGTTGAATACAAAAAGTTCATGGCCAAGGATCACCTCTCCCCTCCTCCACCTGCTCAGCCAGTTAGCAGCCCCGGGGCTTTGCTGAGTAAAACCTGCCTCCTGGAATCTCTGTTGTCCTGTTGACACTTTAGTTGTATACTCCCTCCTGTGTGTGAAAGGCACCTGCTGTTGGTAAAGTGCCCCATAGTTAGTGGAAGTAGAGTCAGTGTGGCATTGGGAAAAGAGCTCTACCTTACTCATACTGTCTGCATCCCAGACCTACCACTGGCCTCCTGGGAGACTCTGCCCAAGTGGTATCACCTCTCTGATTCTCAGTTCCTGGCCTGAAAATAAGAAGTTGGGCTCCAATGTCCCCTAGCACTTTCCTTGGCTCTTCATGATTAGTTGTGAACTGATGACTGTCCCTTCTATGGTGTGGTTGACTAGAGGAACGAGGCTGAGCTAAGAGCTTCAGCTTTCTCCCCCTTCCAGCCCAGCTGTACCTCTGCACTTCCTTGGCCCTGCCTTGGGAGCTGGTAGCAAACCAACCCTCTGCCTTTCTCAAGCTCTTGGACACTGTGCCTCGCCAGGTATGGTGGGGAGAGGGAAACACTGAGACTCAGTGCCAGTCTCCAAACAACGTGTCCTCCAGATCCTCAGCCTTTGCGGTACCCTCCATGAACATATGTGCAGGTACACACACCCCTCCAGGGCTAGGATCTCGGGGCAGGGTGGGCTTATAGACTGGGGTTTCTTGGAGCATCTAATGGATGAGAAGGGGTGTGAGGACAGAGGTACCAGGAGGCCATCCTAACCAACACTGGAGGTTCAGAAAAGGTGGTTATTAACTGACTTTTTGTCCCAGCTGTCTGTGTGTTTCTTGTATTAATGACGAGTAGAAAGAGATGGATTTTTCCATGCATGTGTTATGAGTTGATTTTTCCCTGGGTGCCTTTCCCTGGGCTGTTCTTCCCTTTCCTTCAGCGCTGCTTTCATTTTCCTGCAAGGCCTCATCTGATTTCCCCAGCCCCATTTTTCTGCAGACATATGCCCAAGCTTGAGAACAAGAGCATAATACCAACTAGTTATCTGCTTCAGATTTAGCATGTGTTGGAAGACCAATATTGAATCTTTGTCTCCAATGTCTTTGACTGTTAAGAGTATTTTCACTTTTCTAATAACAACTTTCATTCAATGTTGCTTGGACATTAGTGTTTATGACACCATGTTGAATTTTTTCTTTTTATAGCCTCTAAAAGCCTTGGTGAGCAATAATATAGAGATTACTTAGTGGTAAAAATACAGGTTTTGGAATCAGACAAAAATGAATTTCCCATCTTGGCCCTGCCACTTATGAATACTATTGTCTTAGGCAAGGTATTTATCCTCTCTGGTTTCAGTTTTCTCATCTATAATAATGGAGGATTATCTCCAAGGTTAATGGGGTCATAAGTTGTATTTGTCTACTTGGGCTGCCATGACAAAGTACCACAGACTAGGTAGCTTAAGCAATAGGGATATGTCCCCTCATACTTTGGAGGCTCAGAGTCTGAGATCAAGATGTTCCCAGGGTTGGTTTCTTCTGAGGCCTCTCTCTTTGGCTTGTGGACTATGCCTTTTCCCTGTGTCTTCACATGGTCCCTTTTCTACTGTCCAGGACTTAGTTTCCTCTTCCTATAAGGACATTAGCCATATGGGCTTAGGGCCCACCCGATGACCTTATCTTACCTGAATTATCTCCAAATGTAGTCACATTCTGAGGTACTGGGGTTTAGGACTTCAGCAGAAGAAGTCCTAAACCCTAGTACTAGTGGGGACACAGTTCAGCCATAGCGCAAGTGTATAGTGCATGACTCATTGCAGGCTCAGTAAGCCTACTTATTATTACTTGTCTTACAAGGTTGAAACTGTACAGACTCTTCATGGAACACTGTGTGTCTCTGTAGATCGCAGACACACTCAGCCTATTTCAGTGGGCAAGCCAACATTCTGACAGGCTCGCCCTATTTCAGCGGGCAAGCCAACATCTGTCTGTTATGGGGTGAAGCCCTTGCTTCCCTCTGCCCCAGATTCCAGATGTTAGAAATCTTTCAAATGAGCCATCCACGTACTTTCTCTCCCTCCTGCCCCCTCTGCCTCCTAGTGCTGCACCAGGGTGCCTTCATCTCTATGTGGAAATGCGCTCACCTGCTGATTCTAAACTCACTCCCTGCCTTACTCCTCGGAATTACTGCTCCCCGCAGGCTTCTCTTCCAGCCATGTTTTTCTGATTCCCATCTCTGGCCACAGCTACTTGCCTTGATTCAGACACTGTGCTTGACGTGTCTAAGCGAGTGACCCCAAGGCCTCCAGTGAGCCTTGTGTAGCCGTGTCCTGCCCCCTGCTGCCCTCAGCCCCAGGTGAAGGGGCCACATCATCACTCGGAGGGCAGCATTCAGCTACCCCACTGGCCTCCCAGCAACAGCCTGTACCCCAGTGCCATGGCCCGTTCTCTCGGCGTTTCCGGTTCCAGTCTGAGCACCCCCAAAGAAGCAGTCGGAGGAGCCTGTCGCTGGGCAGCCGAACATCTTCTGAGTGCTCCTTTTGCCTTGTGTTTCTTGCAGCCGCAGAGCCCTCGCTCCGTGCACAAAGCCTGGGTGCCCGAGCAGCAGCCGCAGCCGCAGAGCGCAACCTGCAGAGAAGCGGATCACCAGACAGGCGGAGGGGACGTGTGTGCGTGTGTGCGCGCCTGCCAAGGAGGGAGTGGTGTGCCTGTGTGCGTGTGCGTGTGTCTGTTTACACTCTCGTGGTTCTGACTGTTGCCCAGGCTGGAGGAGCACCTATAGCACGCTTCACCACGAGCACTGTGTCCTGGTCTCCAGACAAGGCTAGAGGCCGTGGCAGTGACTGCCAGCCGGGACCTGTCCCTGCAAGCCACCTGCCTTGTCTGAATAGAATATAGTGGTCAGACCCAGCTGGGATTCTGGCATCGGCCTCCCTCCCTCTTCACGCCAGACTGAGGAACAAGAGGGCGGCCGTCTTGGCCCTTGTCCAAAGCAGGGGCTTCTGGAGGCAGCAGAGTCCCACTGAGTTCCTGCTTTGTGGCCCTGGAGGCTGGGCAGGCTGGATGCTGTCCAGACTTAGCCACCTGGCCTCACTTTTTTATTTTAAAATTCCCTGCCGCTGGGTCCTCCAAACCATCTCTGGACACCTGGGACCGAGCATGAGGCTGTAGACAGATCTGAAAAGTTGCTGCCAGCATACGGAAGCACACCCTGATGGTGAGGTGTGTGCCCAGTACTGCGGATAGGAGCCTAAGACAGCACCTCACCTTTTCAGGGCGAGCCTAAGATTAGGAATAGAAGCCCAGCTCTCCCTGTTCCTCCCCACAGCTGAGAGCCAGCCTCAGGACTCACCCGGGAGCTGTGGAGGGACCAGGGTCAGACTCCGTCCCTCCACCAGGAGGAGACCGGCTTCTCAGGGGCATAAGGCCACCCGGCTCCTCTGGCTGCACCCCAAGGCAGCACAGTGCTGCCAGTGAGGACCACTGACACCCAGCCAGGGAAGCCATGCTAGTCTTCGTTCTGTCGGCTTCCAGGGCCTGCCCTGAACTGGTCAGCATCCAGACTGCCATGTTAGCTGTCCCAGAGGCTGGACTCCAAGGACTCGGGCAGAGGGACTCGGGCAGGGACTGCCAGGGGCAGTTAGCCAAAGTCCGAGCAGAGATCACTCCAGCACGCCATCCCTTCCAGAAGCGGTGGGTGGGAGGCTTGACCCAGAGGAGCCAAGCCTTGCATTCCAGGAGTGACTTGCGCCTCCCACCCCTCCCTCCTACTGTCAAAGGCCGGTGTTGCGAAAGAAGCACTGTGGTCAACTGGAGCAAGTCTTCCTTCCACCCTGTGGCCTGCATTTGAGCCACAACATGTGTGTGTGTGTTGTGTATACGTGCGTGTATGCATGTAGCCGGGAGGCCAGTTCCTGTTTGTGTTTTGTCCTCATGTGTAACATTAAGCTGGCCTCTGGGCGTTTTCCTTTCTACCTCCCTGTGACCTTTCCTAGCCTCAGAGTTGTGAGCTCCCCTGGCCCCAGCCCTGCCCTCTGTCCTCCGACCACAGCCCTGGGGTCAGGCCCCTGTCTCCTGTCGCTGTCCAGCACGTTGACAGGCTTCTTCCTGAGGTGTCTCAGGCTTCCTCAGCCAGAGAGCTGCCTTTGGAGTCCACCTGTCGTATGTGTGTCACCCTCGCTAGAAACATCCCATAGTCGTGTGGGGAAGCAGGGCCCAGGTGACGGTGTGTGTTCAGGGCACCGGATTCCCTCAGCCCCTGCCAGGAGGAAGGAGAACCAGGAAGTCACTCCTCTTGCCAGAGGGAGAGCAGCGTGAGCCTGGAGGGGTGAGCCTGAGAAACAGAAGGTCGAGGCTGCAGGCCAGACCAGTGTTCAGGAACTGCACCTTCAGAGGTCGGGATGAGTCCGTCCCTACCTGTTTGGCGATGGCTCCCTTCCCTGAGATCCCGGGTGGCAGGACCACTTCCCCCACTTCTTCACCACCCCGGCCCACTCCCAGGGCGACTACCAGTGCAGTCAGACAGCGCACTCCTGGAGCCAGGAGGGGCAGGTGGGAGAGGGGGTGTCTGGTGGCCTAGAGCTCCACGATGGTGCCAGACCTCCCTTCCCCTAGCCCAGGTGGCGCCGAGGACTGCCACAGAAGAGCGCCCCAAATCTTGGCCCAAGGGCCACACAGGGAAAAGATGGTCGCAGGCAAAATGCACTTTATAGAGATTTTCTGTTGCTGGAAAGGTGTGTTTCTCCCACGGTTTGTGAATATTCACTTGTTTTATAAACGTCTAATCCTGTCTGAGTAAGGTTGTGCTGTTGTCAATCTTGTGGGAGTTTGGTGAGGCTGAAGCTGGGTGAAGCCGTAGGACTTGGGGCCACAAGGTTCCTATGGGAGCAGCAGGAGCAGGTGGGGGCGGGGCGAGGTGTGGGGGTGGCTCCACAACCCAGTCAGAGGGTCAGTCGGGGTCAGTGGGCCAGACGGTGCAGAACACTCTGGGCCCACAGTGACGGTCCTGAGTGCTATCCTGTAGTGACCCAGACTTGCCGGCCACTTAAGCCCCAGACTGGGGGTCAGTCAGCAGCAGCCCTCTGCAGGCTCTCAGTCTGTGCTTCACCCCACACAGGCTGCAGCCCTGTGGGAGGAGGGGTTGCGAGCCTCTAGTCTGGCCAGGTCAGGATCTGCCCACAGCCAAGCCCAGGGCCTGGATGCTGGCCTTGCCTCCTGCCACCTGGGCCAGAGAGTGGCCCCTCTCTGTGCAGTGGGCCCTGCTTTCATGCTGGGGGACCCCAGCTTTGGTCGGAGAGCTTTATGGGCCCACACTGCAGCTTCCTGTGGGAAGGGGCTCAGGCAAGGCCTAGGAATATAAATCTGCCCTGCACAAAGTGAGAAAGGAGGAAAGGGAGGAACCACCTGTGGGCTCGGCTCATCCTTGGCTGTGTGCTGAAGCCCCTGCTGGCCTCCCTCCTGTCAAGACCCAGGCCTCCCTTTCCTCTCTCTCTTCTGTCTTCTCTCGAGTGTGGCCCTCAGTTGGCTTTTGGAGCTGACTTTGGTTCTTGAGCAAAAGGTACTAGAAGAGGGTGTTGTCCTACACATGCACACGCTCCTGAGCTCCTGAGGGTGTTCCCTGGCTGAGACAAGTAACATTCTAAGAAACAGTCACTAGCCATGATGGGAAGAAAAGCCAGGCGCCGTGGCAGCAGGTGGTTACTATGAGGGCCTAGTGCAGGAAAGGTGAGGTGGCCACCTCTCGGGTCCAGGGGCAGGGAGAGAGGCAGCCCAGGCCTTTGGCTCTGGGTACTGGGATAGTCTCAGGGCTGGAGCTAGGGGCTGCTAACTGCAAGATGGGTGTCTTCCCCTCCTTACTGGGGGCCACACTGAAGGAGAAGGGGCCAGCATGACCAATGGGCAGTCCAGGTTTGCAAACGGGACACAATTTGTGAAACACTTTGCACCTTCTTCTGCCCTGCCCTGTGGAGGACAGGGTCTCTGTGCTTCTCCGGGAACCAGAGAAGCCAGAGAGGTTTGGTCAGAGGCTCTATGACCCACCAAAGCTGGGCCCTAGTCTTGGCCTTCCACACCCTGTGAAAGAACTCAGGAAACACAGGGTCCTGCAGGCCTGGGGGCCCAGGCTTCACCTCTGAGAGGAGGGAAGGCAAGGAGGAAACCATGGCCAAAGCCTAGCAGGGATGGAGGTGCTGAAGGGAGCAGAAGCAACGAAAGAATCCCAAGAAGACTAGGGGCAGGGAGAAAGGCCCCCAAGTCTTGGAATGTGTGTCTGTGAGCGCAAAAGGGGCACTCTGCAGGAAATGCAGTGAGGAGCGCAGCAAAGCTAAGGAAGAAAGGACTGAGAAAGTCCCAACTTGAGGAAGGAGACAGCGAGAGACTAAGCCAAGAGGAGGGCTCGTTTCACCTCAAGCAGCTGCTTGGGGCTCAAGAGAGGCTTGGGTCAATCCTTAGGGAGGGGACCCCCTCTAGGGAGAGTTCTTGGGGTACCCTCAAGGTGCCGGGACAGGCATGGGGTGAGGCCTGGCTCTCAGGGCAGGAGGTGGGGTGTTGCCAGCACCTGGTGACACAATTGTATCACCTGACATCCTCACAACAGCCATGAGAGGGACCAGGGTTGTCCCCATTTCACAGACGAGAAAACCGATCCTTAGGGCCGTGAAGTCACTAATGCCAGGCTTCCCTGTCTACTCGCTGGTGGGACCAGGCTGTGAATTCACACACACACACACACGCACACACGCACTCCAACCGGCCGGCCCCAGGAGGCGGGCATCCTCTCCTTTCTCGGCCTCCTCCACGACCTCTCCGCCCGCCCTCTCGGTCTCCGCGGCGAGGCGAGCGGCCGACCTGGG